ATGTAAGTCCTAAGTAATAAAATTGGCAGGATTGAACATTTAAATAACATCATCTCTAAAAATGCAGCCACACATTAGGATAGTTTGGGAAGTCACTGAGGGTTCTCCTCAGGATCTGTGACATCCCCTACCTTTTCTTTCCTTTGGACTCCTGAAATAACTGTTCATGTTTGAGCCACTCCCATTTGCCATTCTACGTCCTACCTTGAAAACCTGAACCTTGAATTCTTGAAGACTAGAACCATTGATCATTATCGAGAGTTTTCTCAAGTGACTCCCGTCATTTGGGATGTAATTAACTATAGGGGCTTGCCTCTATAGGGAACTTGGAACCCAGGTAAAATAAACCCTATTTAATCTTTGTATTAAATAGGGGAATTTGTCGGTCATATATAAAAGGTTCGCAGACCAAACGGATGTCACAAATCTCTTAGTTTGCAGGATTGGGTCTATCGCTGATGTCTACACTTATCTCTCGGGAAGGTGTAGTATTCGCGGTATCAGGCACGATTATGCAAACTATCAGACTAATGAGATCCACTTGGTCTCATTTTTTTTAAAAAACTAAAACACACTGCTTTCAAAACCCAAACTATATATCTTTTATATTTAAATTAAATCTCAAAAATTATTTTCATATATCATATTTTTTCATAATTAATCAATCGAAAAAAAAGTTGACCGACAATCCTCTACTCCTTTCATAATAATTCTGACATCCGTCTTTGATGGCTTAAAAGTCGATAAGGTTGAGTAAGTTGTGGATGATATTAAAGAGCAAAAGCCTGAGATGCAAGTAAGATTTGAATAGGAAACAAGATGATAATTGCTATTTTGCATTACAAAACAGTGAGGAAGTGAAACTAACACTAGATAGGCCGGATATGGTTCTCAATGACTACTATTCTGGATGAAAGAAGAAAGAGAACAACGTTGATAGCTGCTGCCATGAGGAAAGGCATCAAGAAAAAGCCGTCCTGTGACTGTTCGATGTGGCATGAATTCCAAGGAGGATCTACCACATTCTCCAATCAAGTTACAGGCACATCACTTAAGAAGAGAAATTATACAATACACTTAAAATGAGAAACTTGAGGAAAAACTCAAAATAGCACAAAATAATAAAAAAATTAGCTGCTCAAACTATCCAAAGCAAACAATTTTATAATAGAGTACAAAACAACTACAAATGTAGTTAAGTCAAACAAAAAAAGGCCCTTAGGTTCTGTTTGATTCACCAAAAGAATGAATCAACCTGAACTTGTCCAACTTTGGATCTATAACAATTCTGGACACGATCCTAAGTCTGTTCAAGACATGATCTCGTGTCCGGCACTAGCGCTCCCTCGCCAAATTCATTTTGATATTTGGGGATTTTCACAAACTTCTAATATCTTAGGAACGAAAGGATTTTTTACATTCATTGATGGTTACACTCAGATGACATGACTTTATCTTTTCAACTAAAAAAATTATTTAGGTCCTAATCTTTCAATCTTTATCTCAATAATAAAAAATTAATTGGACAACAATGTTAAAAATTTAAGAGCGATAATGCTTGGATTATTTTAATTAAATTATATCTTTATTTCTTAATATAGAATTTATTTAAAATTTTTTTTTTCAAAATAAAATTTTTAAATGATAGTAAATAAAAGTTTCTTACCTTTACATATCTCATTAATATAATACTCTCAAGGGAGATTAATTCAAAAAATCATCTAAACTATCTTTCTGAATTTTTTCACAAAAATCATTTTTCTCAAAACTTTCTCTTAAAATTTTTAGTTTTCATATTTAAATATACTGACCACAACTGGATAAAATTAATCCTAGTTCACTTTAAGTATGTTTCTTGTAGGATATGCATCTACTCAAAAAAATTATAAATATTTTTACTTGACTACCAAAAAATTCATTATATCAAGAGATGTCATGTTTAATAAAAATGTCGTGTTTGTTTACTCAAATTAGTCTTCAACAACTAAATGGAAGAAAGTTTGATGAATTTAATATCTTTTATCTTGAGCTCTCAGTTGCTAAGACATAAGAATAACACATTATTCTTATCATTAAACCACTTTAAGTATATATAAGAAGTTTATAACTCATCCAAAGTTTCCAACGAGCTCAATGTTCAAAACTATTGTCAAATAACTCTCATAAATAATGATTAACTTATAACCCACATTCTCTTTTTGTATCCCACAGAAAAATACATATCGATTAAAAATTTTTATATTACAAACACAGCCTTCCTTACTATTATCTACTCTAACATCATTAAAATTTTAAGAATCCTATTTGAAGCATTGGAAAATAAGAATTCTTAGGATGTTGTGAGAGAAGAGACGAATGCCCTGAAAAATGCACCTAGAAAATTATTTTGCTACAAAAATATGAAAAAAAATTGTCGGAAGTATTTCTCATTAAAATGTAAAGTAGATTAAAGCCTAGAATGATACAAAATAAGCTTAGTAGCAAAATATTATACTCAATCCTATTGAATAGTTTACTAATAAATCATTTCTCATATTGCTTAGATGAATATAATTCATAATTTAACTTCTTTGATGGCTAATTTTGGATGATTTGTACGATAAATGGTGTGAAAAATGCTTCTTTTATAATTTTGGATGATTTGCATACTCCACTAGAATTCAACGGCTCTTTTACAAAAAATAAGGCTTGAGGATTAAAAAAGCCATTATATTGGTTTAAATAATCTTATGCTTATGGTTTTATAGATTTATATAAGTCATGTATCAAATGGGATATAAAGAAAGTGAATGAGATCACACACCCTTGATAAAATATTCCACTGAGGGAAAATCTTTTAATTTTATTATATACTTTGATGGTATATGATTAAAGGTGTTTTCAATAAAAGATATGAATTATAAAATAAAAACTAATAGCAAATATTTGATGATATATTGTTAAAGGTGTCTTTATTAGTTAAGAAAATTTCAACAAATTATGGTATGTATCCTTTGTGAGAAGCAAAAATGATTGATTGTAATCCAAATGAAACATCAACTCAATTAGGTTAGGAACTGGACACATAAAAAATTAGTTGTGAAAATAATTTATCTATCTAACTTGCATCTTAACTTCTCTTTTGCTGTAATTCTCATAACTCAATACATGCATAAATCAAAGGAATCTCATCTTCGTGATGATTATGGAGTTCTCAGGTCTCTAAAATCAAATCTTATAAAATAGATTTACTATACAAAACATGAATCCTTACAAATAGAAAATTATATTGAATCTAACCATGTGGGATCACTAGTGGTCAGAAGATTCATATCATGATATTGTATATTACTGAGAAAAAAATCTAATAAAGAGGAGCAAAAAAGGTTCTTTTAAGTCAATGTCAAGTGTCGATTTTGAATTCAAAGTATTTGCTTGAGGTATATGTGAATTTATATGGAGTAAAATTATATTATAAAATTTAAAATCAAATGAAAAAGTCCTACTAAAATACACTTTGACGACAAGTTTGCCATCAACTTTGCCCATTCATATATATTTCATAAAAGAGAACTTGAAAAATGGGTTAGTTTTTATTTCATATGTTCTAATGGGATGTAAGATAGCTAGCATATCTACTAGAGGATTTTGCAACCTTGCATTCATGATGAATCTCTATCATCCAGTTTGAGGGGGTGTATTAATGTATCAGAATTGCTAAAGAGGGAATAAAAGGAGCCACGTATTCGTGCGTTAAGTAAGGAGAAACATGAGTCACAAATTTATGTGCTTAACATGAAATGAGAAGTGTTACGAATTCATGTGATCAACATGAAAGGGGAGTGCCACGGATTGCTCCCTCCTCCCACAGGCCAAGATTGCAGTTTTGAATAGCAGTTTTAAATTTTAATTTTTTTTTTGTAATTAGTAATTTTCAATTATTTTCAATTATTTCTTAGGTAGTAGTTTTTTTTTTTTTGTATAAAGACCCATTGGGGAATGAATGAAGCAAGCTTTTTAGTTACTTTTTATTTTCTATACTAATAATGTAGCTTGCAGTGAAATGTCTAATCCCTATACTATACTTGTTCAAATCTCTTGCATTAGACGCTTTAACTTTTGCTCTTATCTTCTGTATTTATATTCTGAGAGTGGGTTATTGGGACATTGCATTTGACTCTTGGTGGTGTCACCTTTCTTGTTGGTTGCATATCATCTATTTATAATTTGGTCTGTAGATCTTGATTTGAATGTAATATTCAGCTTAATCTTTTTTGTTTCAGTGTTTATCTTTAATCTTTTGAACTCGTGTGGCCCATTAAGTTGGATTGCAGTTCATATCATTTCCTTCTAAAGTATCATTAATCAGCAGATGTCACTTGTTGACTTTCTAATAGCCTTTATGATAACTGTTGGCGTCTTCTGACTCTCAGTTAATGGAGGTTCCATGGTTTTTTTTTTTTCTGAATTTATGCTGCTCTAAGGATGTTTACTTTTGTAGAATTGGATTGCTTGCCATAACATTATTATTTATTATATCTACTTGTCTTTATTGGGGTTATGCTGCTCTGAATCTCTTAAAATTCTGGATATATTTATCATTCTAGGAGAATTTTTTTTTAATGTTCTTTTCCTATCCTATGCATCATCAACATAACCGTTATACTTTGTCTTAACCCTTCATAAAATAGAAGAATTACTGACCACCCTGTTGTAGTCGGTTATAGAAGTATGGTAGCAGTTTGTTTCTGCACTTTTAACCAATATTCTGTGCTCAACCTCAATCTTAACCTCACTATTGCATATTGCTATTTCTTAATTTAGCTCCTTCGACTAAATTGGCAAAAAGCTAATATTAGTTGTTTCGTTTTTACTTTCTTTCCTTTAGGTGAACTCATTTTTTTTTGTATTGATATTATACATTCATTTAAATTGTTATGATCAACCTTTTTGTTATTGTTAGATATTTCAAACAACACTTGTGTTGCCAGTTGGAAAGCTCCTGATCAAAACTGATGCAGGTGGAGGGTATTCAAGTTCATGCAGATGAGGGTGGTGCGACACATACACGCGGTGGAGTGTACTGCGTGATTTTGCCTGCTGGATGTAATGTATCTTTGTTCTGCATAATATTATTTCTGTTTACAGGCCTGTTTCAGAAAGAAAGGCTTAATATCAAAACAAATTTAGAGCTCATTGTTTCATAGTGAACTTCAATCTTCTATCATCCTATTGGAGTTGAAGTTTTTTTCTGTTTTTTTTTTCACTTTGCCTAGATCTTGGCTCATCATTGTGGGGACTAGTTTTTATACTGGCATCAACTAAACTTCTCACCGCAAGGATTGCTGCTGGTTGTCTCATTCTTGCTTTATTTGTTGTTCTATTCATTGCAAAAAATGTAAGTTGTTGGTTCTAAGTTAGTTTCATCTCTTTTTTTGGGTCATTTTCATACATACTGCCCAATTCCTATGTATTTACATGCTTAACACTTCAAACTTGTTTTCTACTTTATATAACCAAATGTTTTAATATCAAATTAAAATGCTACTATTCTAACTGTTAAGAAGTTTAATACACCTTTTCATCTATAGGTAAGGTTTTATGGATGTAAACATTGAAATTTAGCTGTTAGATATGTAAATGCATGGGACTTGAGTGGAATGTATGCTCTTTCCTTTTCTAATCTGAGGTAAACTGCAGCAAGATGCTTAGTTAACAAAAAGTATGTCACCAACCTGTAATTAACTTTTTTTCTTAACTGCTAATTGGCTATTTCTCTTAATGCAGTGGTTACTTCGAGGACTTTGTATTGGTAAACTCAGTCAACCTTTTCTTATAAATGTTTGCAGATCTGCTTCATCTGACCACGGACAATTTTAATTTTGTCAACAATACTGGCAGGTTTCATCATTTTTGTTGCCATTATATGGGTATTACAAGAACTTACTCATGTCCGCATCCTTCGATATGCCATTTTATTCATAGGTGAACCTCAACCTTTCCAGTTCTCTCTGAACTGCAGCCCTTGTGAAATTCATGAGGCTAATTTGTTCTGGTATAATTGTAACTCATTTTTCTCTGTTGCAAATTCAGGTGTAATGAATAGCTTGTTTTCAGTCTATGGTATGATTATATAATGATTGACTAGAGCATCAAATTATTACTAATAAAATTCTACAAATTATCATGGTAGTTCTATATGCCCTTTTGTATTTTAGATATCTATGATGATTTGATTTCTCGGAGAGTCAACTCGAGTGATGCTGAGAAGTTTGCCGAAATTTGCCCTTGCCCATGCAATGGAGTTGGATGGGGTGTCATCTGGTGAGATTTTATGCTTAATAAAGTATTAATTTACTATTAATGAATCCCTTAGTATGATCTGTACCAGATTTTATGAAACTTAAATCATATACAGGGGCATAATTTCTTTCACATTTCTATGTGGATCTATGTATCTTGGACTCGTGATTCTCTCCTAAAGGTATTTGAACACGCAATCAGCTCTAGCAATCTGCAATTTTTGGCTCTGGTTCTTTTTCCATATAATACATTTATTGGAATGTAACAATTTCAGAATACATACCAATTTAATGATATTGTTTTGCTTCTTGAAATTATTATTGTTTCCAGGTGAAGTAGATATCATGATTCACAAGCTTTGTATATCATTATTCTTCAAGAAGAAATTAAAATTTAAAAAATTTTGAATTTCTTTCTTAAGGTCGTTTTTTGTTTCTAGGCTTTTTTTTCCCAGTTAAAATTCTTTTCTTTATCATTGTTTTTTATTGATTATTCATTGCGATGAAACACTGATTTTCCATAACTTGTAACTTCCATTGTAATATCAAAATCAATTGGTTTTGCTATCTAGAGTGATCTCAGTATTTAATAGCTTGTCGCATATGAAACAAGTCTTAGGTAATAACTCTATAGTTTATGTTTGTTTCACTAATTTTGCCCAGCCTTATCTAGCCTAGTTGCAAATAAATTAGTACTGATATATATTTCTCATTTTTGATTGCTATATTGTAGAGTTAGGTTTTATTTTATTTTGTTCTCACAACTAGATTGTTCTCACAACTAGAAAAAAAAAAAAACTTTTGTTTTTGTTGAGTTTTCAGTAAGAAATACCTGATGCAAAAAAGTATTTCAGAAACACAGAATACCATACTAGCTATTGTGATGAGGATAGAAGAAGTTATGTATCTTATAATGAAAACCATAAAATTTTCTTGAAATTTAAATATTAGAATTAAATTTTGTTTGAATTAGCCATACTAGGTGAATGATATTATCTCATATTATATTGTCTTTTATTAGCGAATGAAAGTGGTTGATTGTCAACAAATGGATGGGGGAACTCAATGATTGCTTGTTCTTAGTTGATTTTGATGATGTTGATTGAATACAAGTATTTTAATATATTTTTTCCACAACTACCAGCTAAAATGCATGCAAAATAAAATTAGGGGGATTTACATATGTGGCACCTTCAACTCATTTTTTCTTTACATATTTAGCACCCTAAACTTACTACTAATTTACATCACACTCAAATTTCTTTACATATATCGCACCCTAAACTTACTACTAACTTACATCACACTCAAAATCTTCTAAATAGCTCAAATGTGAACTTTCATTTGTGTCATTTAACTCTCCGTTGCTTATCGCTCAAGGCCATATATTCCTGAGCAAATCATAGTCTTCCCCTCATTGGTCGATTTATCTCTTACGTGAAACACTAACTTTGTCATTTACGTCTAAGCCACATCTCTCTACGCAAGCCCTTCCTCTCATATGCGGAACATTGCCTCTCTCCCTAAAAGTCGACCAAACATGAGGTCTGTCAAAAAAGAAAAAAGATGATGGAATGCAGAAATCTGTTAAACCTGAGAAGTATTTGGAAAATTTTCATGTGCTAAAAGGGAAGATCAAAGCTGTTAGTTATTGACTAAAATGACATAATTTAGAGCTATACTCTTTGTGAAATGTCGCCGGATGACTACAAGTTAATCATAAGTGATATTGATGTATTGAATAGGATTACACTATCAGATGAAAGTGATCGAGCTGAAGTGGTGATTATAACAGAATTGCACGTCTGGTTGATCAGATTCGAGATATTATTAGAATGCATCCAAATATCCATTCAAAATAAGTAAACAAATATTTAGAGAGTATGCATAGTCTTCCACATATATGTAGTTATGATGCCTAAGAGAACAAGTCAGATAAAATTTTTTTGATCTATCGATGATACTATAAGCGGGTACTTGCACTAAGAGCATAATTTATCAATATAAAATTTTGCTTCTATATTTCACTCATTTACAGTAGACATGGTTTTTTCTTCAAGAGAGTTTATGTTAGCTTCAAGATCGTTTGTATTGATAGATTTCTAGTGGGTTTGCATCTAGTTGGGCCCAATGCTACGCTAGTTGGGCCCAATGCTACGCTGCTATTCACAAATTCTTTGGATGGTAAGAATGCTTTATTTACATTAATTTTTGCAGTCATTAAATTAAAATCTAAGAAAACATGGGTACAATTTTGTAAGAAGTTAACTGAATCAATTAGTTGTGATTTAATATGCCTTGATTTTACATATGATATAAAGAAAGGTTTGAGCGAGACAATCAAAATAATATTTCAAAGTGTGTCGCACAGAGTTCTTCTACGACGCCATAAAGATTTTGAAGAAGTGTTTTCTTTGTAATGGTAGTCATAAGTTTTAAAACTTGATATGATTAGCTACAAATATATATACTAAGCACCAATTTGATGAAAAAAATGGTTAAATTAGTTAATTATTGTCCTCATGTCCATTCGCATTTGTTATATTAATTATATATGTGGTCAAAATATGAATTTTCGTTTGAAATTAAAAATCTTTACAACAAATAAAATTTCTGAGTCATTCAATTCATGGATTAGAAAAGCTAAAATTAAGTCTGTTGTGAACTTGGTTGATGTGATCATAGGAGTGCTATAACAGTAAAGGACTGAGAGGAGATTGACCTTCACTAGAGTGGAGAGGAGAGTTGGCGCCACATGCTGAAAAATACATTAGAAATATAGGAACAAGAAAAGAATAGTTCATTATTAGACAATCAACTTCTAACTAGGCTAAAATTGAATGCATCAATGAAGACGCAAATTAGAAATTGATAGTAGAGAATGTAATTGTTGATTTTGGCAAATATCTAATTTACTGTGGATTCATGTAATTCCAATCATTGACATGAAGGGAGCACTCTCTATGGCATATTTATATATTTGATTATCAAAATATTATCAGTTTAATATTATGTCATATGAGATTAATTCGTTATTACAACGAAGTCATTTTAACTATAATTGCAGATATAGAATGACATAAATGTTCAATATTAACTCTACCAGACCATTGGGCTATAGTAAATGGAGTACATATTAGCATACCTAACACTGCTAGGTCAAGAGGCCACCCAAAGAATATATGAAAATGAAAAGTTTTAGAAAGCAATAACACGAAGTCCAAATTTATTTACAGATTTGGCCTATGTAAACAAATTCACAAATGCCTGAAGTTGAAGAGTGTACCAACATTTTAGAACAAAACTTGTTGATCATGGATTTTCGGTAGAAATTACCAATCAGAAGGGAGGATGCGCAATTATAGCAGGTTGTTAAAATTTTGTGTGTAAATCTATTGTCCAGTGCTTTTACCAATTTATTTAAAGAACAATTATGTTGGGGGTTTTGTACCTACTACAGTCCCTTAAAACATTATTTTGAAGTTCCATAATAATAAGTGTACACCTTTGGAATGGTTAAACCATAGAAACGTCAGGGTCAAATTTCTTGGGTTCCTAACTAAGCAAGCCTCATGCAGTTGCTTCATACTTTTTAAAAATTAGTCACATATTATATGTGAAATGATATGAGGTTTACATATAAACAGCCATTCTTAAATAAACAACATCTAGTTATGTAAAGGATATAACCAGTGGGTAGCAGCTCTCAATCTCATATAGCTGCATTAGAAAAAAGAAAAAAAAATCACTTATAGCTGCATATATGACATTCTTGTCTTCAAAAGTAAGCCGCAAGCAACACATTTTTATTCTTAATTGCCTAGCATTCTCAAGTTCTGTTTGTGAAAGTAGTAGTAAACTTTTCATGTGCTTTGACATGCATACTACTCAACTACTATGCATTTATATATCTTACACCTAAATATCACTTTTTTACTTTTATACCACTCAAATATTTCATTTCACATAAAAAAGGCCTATATTTTAACTTAAAAAAGTGAAATACACCTTTTTCATGAAGGTGGCATATATGTAAAAATTGAAGTTTATATATTAAATATGTAGATACGTAGGAATTAAATGGTATGTTACATTCATAAATGCTATTGTTTTTGAAAGTTTAAACCTTATAAAAATGAATGTTTAATTTATTAATGTAACAAACTTCCTTGCAGTAGTAGTTACAGCTATATCACAAAGAGTGTTCAGTTGTAGCATCTATTAGTTATTATTTCCTGCAGCATAACATTCCTTGGCTCCATACCTTTCCAAATTGCTGCTATTAGTAGTTGCTATTAAATGCTGCTATTAGTCACATTTAAAATCTGCTTATAAATGCTTCTGTTAATTAATATCTTCTTGTTAGTCACATAACTCCCCAATTTAGATGCTGTGTTTCCAAAACCTCCACACCTTTCCAAAATCTTTCTTCCATCTCTCCAATGAAACCACAAAAAACAAACAAAGAAATTCCATATCCATGTTAATCATCAATTGATGTTGATCTCCTTACAAAATTAAATTGTTGCAAGGTTGAGTTTAATTTAAAAGGAAGTTGGAGATTTTGGAGAGGTATGGAGCTAATGTTAGTCACATTCAAATGTTGTTGTTAAATGCTTCAATTATCTGTTAGTACTTTATTCTCCATGATTCAAATCAATTTCATAAATAAATTGTCCCATGTGAAAGCAAAAGCTGCAACATTTGGTTTTCTGCTGCATGCATATTTATGCATATTTATCTCAGCAATGGCTTTCGGCTGTTTACAGATTCATCTCAACCGTATACACAATTTCTACCATATGATGTTGAATATGCATATCATAAAATCAATAAAAGCTCTTTCTGTTGTATAAGTATTAATGTTTTAGTTTTTAATTGATCTCAGACATTTAATTACTACTAATGGAGTTGTTTTCAGGTAATTTAACCACTATAGGTTCACATTTTATAGCAGCGTTAGATAAGCGATGAAAAATAAATTATGATATTTGCGTCAGAATTAGCATCCGATTTACGTCGGAAAATTCATCGGTATAAGTACTCCGGAAATGACAAAATTTAACTTTGGATTTACAATAAAGTTTGCATCGGAAAAAAACATCTCAAATACTTTTCTTGTTAGCATTGAACAAGTTCAACGCAAATTCGACAGAAATTCGACGCAAATGACCTAATTTAC